TCAGAACTATTTTTAGCTGGACCTTATCTTGATGATGACCAATTTCTGGTTCGTTCAGTAAAATTTTAACTGCACATACAAAACTAACTACACCAGCTACTAAAGATTCAAACTCACTCTTTAAAACTTACCATCTATAAACACAAATATATGTATCTATAATACAATTGATAAATCCAATTAACAATAGGCCGACAACACATTCATGAAACATCATTGTCGCCAACATGAAAATTTGAATTTGATCTCAATCGGAAAACCAAAAGGTGTCTGAACCGATGGAGTGATACTCTACATACTCTGGTAGTTATCGAACAAAATCTTTCCTTCTTCTTTTACTACTCTAACTTGTTTAACTTGCCAACATTTAGTGTAGCCCAACTATGAGTGTTCAAAAAAATGCAAAAACCGAACCGAATCGATAATCGAAAAACCGATTCGATTACGGTTCAAAGAATTATAAAAGCTAGATTTTAGGTTCAATTTCCGATTTTAGTTAAAATGCAAACCGGTTAACCGTAATTGGTTTACTCTCTCTCTCTCTCTCTCTCTCTCTCTCTCTCTCTCTCTCTCTCTCTCTCTCTCTCTCTCTNTTTGATTTCCTTTATTAATACAGCATATTTACTCCATTATAGAACATGGACATAATTACTACATTATGAAATATGAACATAATTACTACACTAAATATTAGCAAAACCATTCAATAGTCATCATTAAAGCATCCCCTCATGCTCATAGCGTCCCTTGGAATCCTCTCCCAACTTCATGCCTTAATCCTTACCTGCAAAACATTTTAAAACATTTTGTGGGGTGAGCGCTAATCGCTCAGTAAGGAATATGACCATTTATAAACTATTAAGGTTCATTATACAAGTATATTACTTAGGAAATACCCGACTAGGGAGGGGTTTTACACCACCGTCACCAGGAGGCTCTGATATGGTTGTTTCTAGCCATATTGATGGCCAAAAACACCTATATCGGAGTAGATCTAGCCGAAAATGGCCAGATCTATTATGGTTATTTTCGACCAGATTCATCTGTTAACGGCAGGATCTATTCTGGCCGGAATAGATTTGGCCATTAATGGTCATATCTCACCTTGATATGGTCGATAAAGGCCATAGATTTGGCTGTTAATGGCTTGATCTACTTCGATAAGGGTCTTTTCGGCCATTAATATGGCCAGAAACGGCCATATGGGAGCCTCCCAATGATGGTGGGCTACTCACAACGACTCCAGGCGACTTCCGGCAACTTCCGGTGATAGATGGCGGTGGTTTGGTTGGCGACAAGTGGGGGGGGTGGTGGCTTAGGTGGGTTGCAACTTATTTTGAATTTAAGAGTAATTTTGTCTAAAAAGTTAATTAATTGAAGTGAAATGGTAAAGGCTAGATTTATGTAAATTAATTTAAAAACAATAGTATTATTGTCCTAAAATTTTATTAATAAAGGATAAAATTATAACAAAAATAAGATTACCTTGGTAATCTTACAATACCTAAGAAACTTAAAGTTATCAGATTACCTCCAATATTACTAACAGTAACTACTATTGGTATTGAAAGATTACCAAAATTTTATATTACTTGATAACCAAACATAATAATCAAGTAATCTAGGATGACATAACCGTAGTAATCTCATATAACCCCTAACCCAATGTTTCCTAAGGAGTTAAGATCAAAACCCCTTTTGTTGAATAATCCCTTCTTTTTTTTAATAAAACAATACAAGCAAAGATGGCTTCAAGATATCCTATCAGATCATCTATATGAAAACCAAGCCAATCGATAGTAACGAAGTTGTCTTGAAACTTACAAAATTACAAAAGAATGGAATATATTTCTATCTTTAAAATACAAAACACCAGATTTGCTAGAGGGATGTGGTCATGTGAACAAAAAATTTGAAGTTTCCTATCTGATGATCATTGTTGGAATTTTCATTAAAATTCACATAGCGGTTATTGAATAATTTTCATTACCATGGGGAGGCCAACAGGGGAAGGCTAATTATGCTACATTTTATAGCTTTTAATTGAGAAGGATACATTTTGATGTCTGAGATTCTGAGTCACCAGCTCTAGCAGCCGTGAACCAGCATGCCATCAAACCTCCAGGCAGTACGAATGTGAAAGGCTCCACCTTGTGTATAAGATAATAAACACAACTGATTAAGTTGGCCAATTGTCTATATAACTTTACTGATCTCAAATGGTTTGCCTCCCTTAAGTCCCCACAGAAGGGCAGAAATAATGAATGGACTGTCTACATTTGTTACAATATAACAAATCCATTTCCTATAACCTTCCATCCATAGCAATCACAGCTTTTCAGTGTTCTTCAGATCCAATACATTTCTCTCACAAAAACAAAATGATCAGTCCAAAGAAGCTTGATCAAATTGGCCAAGAAGTGGCAGAAACTGGCTGCAAGCAAGCAAAAAAGAATCTCGTCGCCGAGAGCCTCTAGGGTTGTTGAAGCAGAAAACTGCAGAACATGTTCAATGACTGAGAAGGGTCATTTTGTTGTATACACAACTGATTAACAACGCTTTGTGATTCCATTAAAATTTCTTTAAAACAACATCATTAGAGAGCTTTTTACGATGGCAGAAGATGAGTTTGGACTGCCAAGCTATGGACCTATCACATTGCCATGTGATGCAGTTTTCATGGAGTATGCAATCTCTTTGATTCAAAGGAATGCAGCAAAAGATGTAGAGAAGGCGTTGCTTATGTCCTTAGTTACCGGTCGATGTTTACCATCTTCAAATCTCCATGAAAACCAAAGTAATCAACAATCATTAATTTGCAGCTTCTAATGTAAATCATAGTTCTAGATTTTTAGTCATAATACAGTGGTGTAAATTGATATATAGTTGATATATTAAATGAAGAATTCCCAAAAAATTTCTTACTTTTCTGCCTTTCTTTCGAGGGTAAACCAAAAATAGTTATGAAAAATTTCCTGTTACAATTATCTTATAAAATTTACCAGGACATGTTACATTTATAACGACAACTGAAACAGATTAGTTATTTGGTTCACAACTAAATTTGAACCTATGTGCTGCTATCTGTTTTATATTCTTCCAAAATTTTACCATATGAACTAAGATTTTCTCCTGATCCAAGCTTCTATCTTGACAAAAAGAGGTTTCTGAAAAGTAGTTAACAACATAAAACACAATAGAGGTCATATTAATACCGTGTCGACATATTATTGCATACAATATTACCATTTAAATCCCTCGCTTGGAAGATATTGAGAAAGAAGTAAGCAACGATATCAAAATAGCAGCACCATTTATGTTGGGAGATTCTCTTTTTTTGTGTACATGATTTACTGAGAATAACATATCATCCTTAAAAAAGCTGTAATGAAGGCAATTGATTGCGCTTTCACAATCAGAATGTAAACAGTAGAACTTGCTCTTTCTTTTCAACATGTCACATGAGATTGTCCATCATGATGTAATCGTTTTTTTTTTTTTTTTTTTTAACAGGGGATATTCTAGTCAGTTTACACGTACCTTAACTAATCCTCGAGACCCTAGAACCCTAGTTAGTAAATACGTATTTTATACGTGAATTATACACCCAACCGTATAATTCGTGTTTTAACGTATGTTATAAAAACTATTGAATTATACGCGTGTAATATAAATACCCGTATAATTCGCGAATTACTCGTGTATTATTGCAAAAAAAAAAAAAAAAAAATTCCATTGCTCACCCCAAAACGACATCGTTTTGGTGGGTTTAATTCAAAATTACATAGTATCTCTCCTCTTCTTCAGTTCTTCGCCTTCCTCAGTTCTACGACGGATGACATTTTCAACTTTTCTTCCTCAGTTCTTCGACGTTTTTCAGCTTTTCTGTCAATACTTTCCCTTTCTCAGCTCGGACGGTGAACTGATTGAGATTTTTAACAAGTTTGTGTTTGTGTTTGCGAGAGAAGAATAAGTTTGCGGAAGGCGAACTGGTTGAGATATTTAACAAGTTTGTGTTTGTGTTTGGGGGAGAAGAATAAGTTTGAAGAAGGGAAGGTATTGGCAGAAAAAATAGCCTGCAAAGCAGATGTCATTGTTGGAACTCTGAAAGAAGCATTTGGCGTTGTGGGTGAGACACAGAGATGATTTGATTGAAGAAGAGAGAGGGAGGGGGGTTTTTAAGATTGGTCACGGGTTTTGTGTTTGCGGTGGATTTCAACACTCAACATTGCAGATTACGTTTCTATAATTCTATTGCACAAACAAAAAGATAAATAAATATCTTTTTACTGGTGGGTTAGAACAAGACATGCGCCTGGGAATTTGTTAAGGCAAAGAAAAGATTAACGTTACCATAGCCAAAAGCAAAAGCAAAAGATTTAATTGAAGTCAATGCAAAGGTATATTAATAATTAGTCCATAAAAGTGTCAAAATTAAGATTGATATTGTCGTATTTTTCAAAACGTATTATTGATAATATACCGTATTAAACCCGTATATACCCGTACCATATTTTTTTCGTATCCGAATTTTATGATCGAATTTTTATAAACCGTATTATACTCGTAAAATTTCCGTACCTTTTTTTTGTTGTACCCGTATTTACTAACTAGGCCTAGAACTACCGGTCGGGTAAGGGCTCTAGTAGCTACCCCTATCAGCATCCGAGGAGAGACTCGAACTCAAGATCTCTTGAGAAATATACCCAATAGTCTCTATCGAACTACTCGATCACCAAAGGTGGTTAAGATATAATTGTTATTAACACAAAATTTTAAGCAATTCTGTTGTAAGTTGTATCAAATTAGCCAGATATTTATTTTCATGATCCCTTTGATTTCTCTGCCCCTTAAAGATCAAAATAACAACTTTAATATATAATCTAAGCTCACATAACTTTTTACCATATAAATAGAAACTACTAAGAAGATATTAGAATTTGTAATTATATTCTCACTAGAAAAATGTTGTGTATCTTCTACAAAAGTTAATTTTGATCTCAGTTACAAACAAGTACATTTTGATGTCTTGGTTCTTGCTGCAAAGAGGATGACAATGAGCAGCAAGCAGTAACTACTGACATAGGCTTAAGTTTGTCTTGATTCTTCACGACGCTGCCTCGTATCAGTGACACCATGTACTCGAAGAAGAAGGAATCACACGGCAACGTAATGGGGCCATCACTTGGCAATCCAAACGCCTCCTCTGACATTTTCAAGAGTTCCCGAAAAATGTCATTGTTAAGAAATGGAAGAGGAATCACAAAGCGCCTGCAATCCGTTGTGTACACAACAAAGTGACCCTTGTTAGCCACATATGAAGTGTTGGAACCATTTAAATTGGCAAAACTGCTTGCCCTTTGGAACAAGATTCTTTTTCTTCCTTCTACGGCCGCCTTTCGCCACTTCATTGCCATTTTTATGAGTGTCTTGGTACTTAGCATGCTGTCTTAATGGAAAATTCTGAAAGTAGAAAGATTTCAAGCAAAGAATGTTATAACACTATCAATTGTGTTGCTTTCCTGAGTGAAAATAATTGCAGATGGCCTAATTATATACTCAAACTTCTGAATGAAAATAATCTCTGGTTGTTTCCTTATGTAAGTCACATTAGATGCAGAACCATGTGCTGATGTTTAGGAGCTCGGGACCTTGAAGCTATGACATGTTTGGTTCTACCAGAAAATCAGCAAAACAAGATTGAACATAGCTGAAAACTATCAACTCATTTTCAATTGCGATAACAGATACTAGGACCAATCAATTCATCAATCTTATTTTCACCAAATTTTCAAGAACATAGGCGAAAATACTGACTCCTAATGTATATATCTAATCTTTCATTAAAAACTAGTACTAGGGAACATGCCAAAAAATAGAACATGTGCATCTAAATGTCCCTGGAATTAAATGTAAGAGGCAAGGGGATGCCTCATTCTTTCACCAGGACTTAAAACTTCTGTGGCTGACAATCACTTGGGACCCTCTGTATTCCAAATTCTAATTTGTTAGGAGACATGGCAATGCAAATACAACATTGTGTGACTCAAAGAGAACTAAAGTCTAAAGATACTTCACTCCAAGTTGTGACTTGCAAAATGTGAACTCTTCCAATTCCATTAAAGCTGCTTCGTTTGAACCACATATTTATGTATATCTTGTTTGGTAGTTCACTTAGAACATGCTGGGGCCAACATGCTATAAGTGTATGTCTTGCACATGCCTAGATCTGCCAAATCATTTTCCCTTACCAAATTCCAAAACTATTTCTTCATAGATATATTCATGGGAGAGTTTTAGATCTAGATAGAATGTCCATTCTTGCCAAGTAGATCAAAAGTTCCCAAGGACCCAAACAATAAAGATTCAACAATATTGGGACCGGTGGCGCCTTAATCTACTTGGCAGAAATTTGTTTCATTGCCTACCAGTTCCAAGCTTGTCCACAATGCTAACACCAGTTTTTCGCAATCACCACATGCTTATGCACCCAAGAATGCTTACACAAAGAACCCCACCTGCAAGGAAGAATTCTATAGCCTTGTAATATAAAGCCAATGCACTTGCATTGCCTTCTACACAACTCAACCATTGCATCTTGAAGTTTCAAGTACTAAACCTTCTCATCAATTCTCTCTTATTCGCACATTCTAAACAAAATGATCAGCGCCAAGAAACTCATCAAGCTCGCAAAAAACTGGCAAAGGACAGCTGCCCTCAAGAGAAAAAGGATTTCGTTACCCGGATTCAATAAAACTAGTACACCATCAGCGGCGCATAAGGGCCATTTTGTTGCTTACACAGTTGATCAAAAGAGGTTTGTGTTTCCCATAACATATCTTAGGAGTCACATATTTCAAGAGCTCTTGAGGATGTCTGAGGAAAAGTTTGGTTTACCAGGCAATGGGCCAATCACATTGTCATGTGATGCAAGCTTTATGGAGTATGCAATCTCATTGATCAAAAGTTGTGTTGATAGGCAAATGGAGGAAGCTTTAGTCATGTCTATTGCTAGTAGTAGATGCTCATCAATGTCTCATTCCCTCCCTCATGGACAAATTGGTCACCAATTACTCATTTGTAGTTGTTGAATTGCTCACTTGATCACACAAAATTTTTTAAATAATACATGTGATATAGAATTAATGTATAGTTCAATGCATTTTATGAAAAGTTTCTTCAAGTTCCTTCATGTTTTTGTTCTTGGTTGACAATGATCCGCATGACTACTAAAGCCAACAAATAATAAGAAAAGTTTGAAACTAACTATAAATATTTTAAATCTAAAGCCGGTGATGGGTCGTGCCTATCTTAAAAATTCAAGGTCTATCATGTCATAGGTCATGTCATGCCAAGACCCGCAAAAATTTGTGCCTTATCGTGCCGTGCCATGGGCCGACCCATGTGCTTTGTAAAAATATTTAATTTTAATATTTATAAATTATGATAATTTTGATTTATTATTAATAATTATTATAAAAATATTTTATATATTATATTGAGTGATATTTACTTATTTAGTATTTATTACTTATAAGTTATAATTATAAATTACAAATACATCATCATTTTCATTAATTTTTAAATTCTTAAAATCTTCAAATATATCTTAGTTGTAAACATAAACTAATATTTTTTTTTTTTTTTTTTTTTTGCCAACCCACATGCCTTTTTTAAGACACACGGCATGGCCTGCATAATCGTGGGTCGTGTCATGTCATGGGCCGGCATGACCCACCACCGACCCTAATAAATCCCACTCCCATTAGGGTAGAGAAGGGGCAAGAGTTAAGAGAGTGGGGTATTCTTAAAAGCAAGTTGGTTGGTTAGGCGGGTCAATGTGTGAAAATGAAATTTAATTTCAAAAGTTTAGTGGGCGGGTGGGGGTAGGTGTGCATACGAGCCGAGCCGAGCCGAGTAGTAGCCGGCTCGAGCTCGGCTCGGTGAGATAAGGTGGGAGCTCGAGCTCGAGCTCGAGCTCGTCGAGCTCCAGCTTGTGAGCTCGAGCTCGGCTCGTCAATTAAACTACATGGCTCGAGCTCGACTCGGCTCGACTCGTATAGTTTCGAGCCGAGCCGAGCCGAGTTCGAGCTCGAGCCAAGCTCGTTTGCAGCTTTTTCCCAGCAAATCAAAGCACAGCGTTTCTTCTTCTTCTTTATTTCCCCAAAACTGCCTCTTCTCATCAATGTGAATTACACTCCAATTTACACCTTCTTCTTCCACAACTCTTTTTCATTCTCTCTTCTTCAAACCCAGCTTCAACTATTGCAATTATTTCATTTTTTGTGTAAAATGAAAACATTTGTCTCTCATGAAATCAACAAACTCATCTGGGTTTTCTCAAAAGACATTTTACACAGCAAATCAAAATGAAACGCAAATCAAAGAACAAAATCAGTAATTGACGGTAAGGGAATCAAAGTTATTTTTGTTAGTGGAAATCGCTTATCTCATGGCAACGACGTGGTGCATACCGCCTGAAACTTTTATGTGGTGGATTTTTGAACCTTTTAATTCTGGATGATCAAATTCTTTAGTTTTTCATCGCATATGATTGATCTTTATGAAAAAGAAACACCTTGTGGAGCGTGTGGTGCATAATGCTTGTTATTCAAGCAAAAGCAAATGGCATTTGTTAATGCTCGTTTATGGCACCAACACTTCTCACGTGGATAATGCTATTTGATGAATTAACACACGTGAAATGGATGCCTCAAATGAAAAATGCAAAGAAGGCTTTTAAAGTGGTTCGGATGCAAGGTAGCAAATCCTACGTCCACTGATTTGTATTGATATAGTGTGGGTCAGGTCGCGAAGCGGACTGACGTACAAAAAGTATGAAAAGTAAGTGTTTTTCTTTACAAGAGAGAGAGTTGTTTTTTGTCAAGAATGGCCGAATCCCCCTAATGGAGGGGTCTTCCTCATTTTATTTCAAACTGAAGCGTGTATAATCATTAAATCCATGGGTTGGTGTGATATGTTCAGGATGTAATCGGCTTTACGTCCCATTCCTTTTTCCAAGTGATTTCGCACGACTTGCTGCAGAGGAATGGACGCGTGTGAGCTCCATGTTACTTTGAAGGTCTGACGTGTGCATGTTGCCCTGACGGGAGCAGGTCACCCGAACGTGACTTTCCCACGTCAGCCCTTTATTTCCCAGGGTATAACAGCATTTGTATATAAACGTGTAATGAACTGTCATAAACGTAAAGCACCCACAAAAGTTTCAAGTGTTTCAAGTTCATAGAAAAGAGCTCGAAAAGCTCATTTCAACTTACATTTGTCATCTTTGGTAGTAGGTAAAGCTAATCAATGGCTTTTCTTCTCTGTTTCCATTTTGGCAGATGGCTTGTGTTCATGTAATGTCTTTGATATATAAGGTCATCTACTTATATGTTGATGATTATAACGATGCTGGTTGCATCCGAAAAGTTTCAACTGTAACGTTCGTATTTTCACATGGCCGCAGGTTGCAGAGATTTTCTGTCGAAAGTAGAACAGAACTTTCAGTGCATCGTTCTTCTTTTTTTATTTTTTTTTATTTCGCATGTGTAATATTTTGATGGGCAAACCCGGTTTTAGATTTCTGGTTTTACATTCTCTATATTTTCTATTGTCCGAGATTCAATTGTTACTGGAGAGAGGAGAACCAAACAATGAAACAAACACTCTGTTTTTGAGATCTCTGTTTTATTACCAGTTTTTTGAAATACTGCAAGATCAGTTTTCTTATTTTGGATTTGATCAATAGTGTGATTTTACTTTTTAAACTAATTAACATACTAAAATTGTTAACTTTGTAAATTTCGTCTAGGACTCAAAGTCCTTCTCTAAGTTATTCAGATTCTTTAATTTTTCTGAACGTGTTACACAATTCGATTCCAATTTCCAAGTATTATTCACGATTTTTCGTAGTAGATGCCCTCCGAAAGCTGATGATTCAAGTGGGTTCCGTAATATAATATTCTAGATATACAAAAACATATAATATATGTATTCCAACGACTTCAGAACATCTTTAAGGCTGCTATACGCCTATACCATAAACCAAATTAGTCTAAAATTCTTAAAATATAGGATTTAAACGAGTTTAATATATTATGTAATAGTGGTAATTATAAATCAAAACTCACATTATTGGGACGCATATGGGTCCCAATATATATATAAAAATTGGGAATAATAAATATTGTTATGGAGGAAGTTACAAGAAGAAAGGATGACTAATGTAATTATCAAAGCCACTGCATTTTAGAGAGGCCAATGGACAAATACTAGAAAACAAAAAATGATTGCATGTGGAGGGAAATTGTCAGCGGCATTAATGAAGACAAATCACGAGCAGAGTGTAGAGAACCCTCAAGAATGCATGCTTTAATGATTATAATGAATAAAAACAGTCCAGGATTATAATCTTTTGCTAATACTTCCCCTTAAGCAAAAAACTGGGGTACTTTTCAACTATCTCAATTGCTCCCAAATCAACTTCTCAAACCTGCATTAATCTTGCAGCTAAACCGTTTTCTCAAGTCCATCATTAAACTTCAAAAATCACATTTAAAATTGCACAATTAAACTTGCAGCAAATCAGTCCAACAATTTGCAGCTTTGCAACAATCAACTCATCAACCAACCTACAATCAACTCCTTAAACCAACCTGCATTATCTGCAGTGCAAATCAACTGCAATTCAACCATTAAACCTGCAGTTCTACAATATACTTGCAGCAAATCTGCAGTTCTGCAACAATCAACTCCTCAAACCAAGCTGCATTAATCTGCAGTGCAAATTAACTGCAACTCAGCCATTAAACCTGCAGTTCTACACTAATACTTGCAGCAAATCTACAGCTCTGCAACAATCAATTCCTAAATCAACCTGCATCAGTTAAAACTAATCAAGCAGAAACTTAGAACATGTATGAAGAAAATTGCAGCTATTGGGATGAACTCATTAATGAACAATGATTGGATCCTGTCACACACTAGGGTGGTGAAAATTTAGAAAAGGGGAGAGGCTACCACGACAAGAGCTCATTATTTTATCAACACTAACCTCATGCACATACATTACTCATTTCCCAAATCTATTATGAAAGTAATAATACTGAAACATATTAGGTGATTTGTTCTGTAACTTGACAGCAAAAACAATTTTATTTTAGGCAGCAGCTGAACAAACATGTGATATTAGCAATAACTCTCTCTTAGAGGCATTTCATCAAACAAATAACAACTTCTCTACAGACTTCCAAAAATTAATGCAACTCATATCACCCATCTTCCAATTTCCAAATACGCAGCAAAGTCAACATAAACCAGAAGAATTCGTAACTAAAGAGAGAGAAAAACAAGAAAGTTGTATCAACTTAAACAGTAGAATGAGACTCACGGCAAGAGAAACTTGGGTGTCAAAAAGTAGCAAAATGTACCTTGTGGCAGTAGGGAAGTGAAGAAGGGAAGACGAGTGGACGGTAGTAGCTGAAGTGGGTCGTGGTCGGTAGTAGTTGAATGAAGGTGGATGAAGGCTGGACAATGGTGGTTTCAAATCTTGCGCTGTGTTTTGGAGGTGAATAGCTGAATCTCTGTTTTTGGCCGAAAGAATGACTTGATTTCAGATTTTAGGGGAAATATTAACACAGTCGATCTCTGCTCGAATGACGTCTCCAGTTCGCCGAACAGCTCGCGAATAGGCGAGTCGAGCCTGAAAAGCGCACAGTTTTCACGAGCTTGACGTTGAGCTCGAACTCGAGAACTACTCGTTCTCTGGCGAGTCGAGCCCGAGCTCGACACTAGTCGAATCCGAGTAGCTCACGAGCTACTCGGTTCGCATGCAGTCCTAGGTGGGGGCATCCAGAGACAGATCGGCCTTAATCCATGTACAGCCTAAGTTTCTTTTGATGTCTCCTAAAGGAGAAGAAAGCTTCATCTTTGTTGTTTTTTTTCCATGATGTACTGCCACCACTGTGACCACATTTGTTGTCACGTAAACTACTAAATGATGAACTCATGATAACTATTCTTTGTACAGATTAAATATTTACATATCATATCTTTCTCGAAAAACGAAATCTTTAAAGTGTTTATCTTTTTTAAATATCTCTATCACCATCATCGTTCTTTAATCTTAAAGCTTTTTAATTTGAAACAATCGAACTTTGAACAGTATGTTTAAATAATAATTCTGAAATCATGTATATCACATTATCATAAATCTTTATTATCGTATATTATTTATTATAGAAATACGGTCAAATCTACTGTTCAAAGTCACGATTTATACTAGAAAATTAGGCTTCACGTCAGCAAGAGCCTCTTACATTTCAATCAATTATCCTCTCATTTTATGATAATCTTATATTATATATGTTTTATTTGTAACGTTGAAAAACTTGTCTACTTAAATGTGGTTCTCATTTTTCTAGTCTCAAATTTCATATGGACGACATCTTTTGCTGTTAGAAGATTGACTATAACTTCAGCCTTTGCTCTTTAAATTCTCATACAAAGACAAGGAATTAAAGAGAGGCTGTTTACTAGTACTTCAATTCAAAGGTCTCCCCTTGCGATAAAGAACAAAAAATGCCCACCAAAATGTACCAGCTGACTTAATTAATTAGCTTCAAAATTTTCTCTCATCTCATCGATCTCTATTAAATCCATGATGAAATTTTAATTTGTTAGATAAGCTCCCAAATGATTTCGATATCATTAGAAAAGATCCCAGATTATTATCAAACAAAGTACAGAGATTAATTCCCTAATGATACGTTAAGTAATTTTGAAACTTCTATGAAGTGCACTGATCAGTCGTAGAGTGGGAACGAGAGAAACAGATAACTCATCACTTTAGCAGTACTCTTTGAATTCAACCACGTAAAAATAAATTCCAAATATCTAATTGATTAATTTATGCCCGCAAAGGACAAGACATGTGATAAATGAAAAATAAATTAATGTGTACATGCAAGTGCTTCTCTTTTTCTTTTACCCTATTCACGTTAATGTTTTCTTCCTCTTTTTTTTGTTAAGTAATGTTTTCTTCCTCATTATATCCAAATGAGTAAAAGATATATTCCCGCCCGAGTTTCAACAAAATCCTAGGTCGATACCCTTGATTGTATTTATTCCAGATTCTCACTCTCAAAATAGCATCGTTAGTAATTATTGAAGGTGGTCAGAAACGATAAATGAAGTTATGGTTTTTATAGAGGAGATTATTGAGAGTCTAACAGTGGTCTTGGAAGTGATTTTAGACTTCAGAGTCGGTCAAAAATAGCCAAAAACCACCACCTTGGACGCTGCTAACCTGAACCCATTTTTGCTAAAATGACCAAAAAAACTGTCGATGCACTTTAGCGTGCTAACATGCAATGCGCTATAGTGAAAAGTTGAGAATCTGTTAAAATAAATAAAACGATCTTACTTTAAGGATAAGAATATAGGATAAATGCAATTAGGGATATCAACTTAAGATTTCGTTAAACCTCGATTAGGAATACGTCTTTGCTCTATCCCAATTAGATAACTATGAAAAAGAAAAACATCCTATTCCTATACCATTGGATTCATCAAACCTCTCTATCTAAAACGTTTAAAACTAAAAGCCCATGTCCTCATCTCGCAACTAACAACTACCCATATAATAGAAAATTGAAAAGAAAAGTAGAATCCAAAGCAATTATAACCAAAGCCAATATAAAAAACATAACATTCATTACAAACATTTTCTAATACTTCAATATCATTCTTTGCTAATATCGGGTTCAGAAAGTAAAAAACTTTATTTAAGTCAATATTTTTTATCAAGAACAACAGCCAAGCAGCAGCTGGGAATTGCTTTGCCCTTTCACGCTAGTTTTATCATTTTGCATGTGCAATACGCTTCTTCAATATTATCTCAAGCTTCTAATTTAAGGTAATTAGCTTATTGGTTTACTCGTACTCAGAATTTGCTTTGTAATTTCTCGTTCACAATTCTTTTTGGCAAGTTTGTTAGGGCTACGTCACAGTCAAAGTAAAGCCAGAAGAAATTAAAGGGCAACTTCCTATTTCGTAGACGACTTTGGATGACTGGCGATGGTGTTTAATAAATAGTTTTAGTTAAAGACCAAATAAAGAATTATTTTATTGGCTTCTGTAATATTCCCTTTTTGGCAATATTATTTTCTCAACTCAATGTGACCTACATGACTCAATAATGTTTCCCATTTCCATCACCTAAAAATTTCATCTTATTGCGTATTATACTTTGCATGCGAGGCCTATATATAGGAAGATAAATTATGTGTTTCAAAGAGTACGCTAAATATATTAAAGAGACAGAAGAGAGTTGAAACTTGATAAAGACGGTTCAAGTTCAGCTCTCAGCTTAAAAAATGGGTGAAGGTGATGAAGTGAAGTCCAAGTCGAATGGAACACCGAGGCCAAAGTCCAATCCTGGAACACCTAGGCCAGTCTACACGACGCCGTCGCCGCCGATATCAGCTCCTCCATCGCAGCTTCACTCTCCATCTTTAACACGGTCACCTCTTCTGGCCTCTCCTGATTACATAGAGCCGAGCAAAACCCCAAAAAACTCAACTCCAAGAAATTCAACCCCGAGAATTAGAACGCCACGCTTTATCACCCCTTTGAGTAGCCCTATCAGAGCAGCTCTTAAACTAACAAGGCTTGACCCTCATGACGCTTGGCTTCCCATCACTGAGTCCCGCAATGGAAATGCCTACTACGCCGCGTTTCATACTCTCTGCGCGGGAATTGGAATTCAAGCTCTTGTTCTCCCTGTGGCCTTTCCTATTCTTGGGTGGTATGTAAATATTAATTCAACTATCATCAAACATGTTTATGCTCTTCTTCTTAGCAGTGTTGAAATATGTTTCTGATTTGTAGTTGGTTAATTTTATAGGAGTTGGGGTGTAATAAGCTTGACACTGATCTTCATATGGCAACTTTACACTCTTTACATACTAGTGGCACTCCATGAATCTGTTGAAACTGGGATGCGTTACAGCAGATATCTTCAACTTTCTAGTGTAGCTTTTGGTAAGCATTTCTTAGCTCTGATTATTATAAAAATAAGTTTATTTAAAGAGAAAAAATCAGTTACCCGTCAACAGTTTCGGAAAGTTATAGTTTTTGGACTCTAATAGTTTCAAAAATAAATCAAAGAATGACCAGGACATAGATTCCGTCGGAACTCTGTTAAAAATGTTTTTTTCTTTTTCTTTCTCTCCCTCGGTCTTTTCTCTTTTTTCCTTCTTTTTTTATATTTCTCCCTTCCTTTTCTCTTTTCCTTTCTCCTTCCCCCACCATGGAACCAGACACCACCAACGAACTTCCCTCATGTGAGTTTAATGAGTTTAGACGGAATCTGTGTTTTGATCCTTCTTTGATTTATTTTTGAAACTATTGGAAGCAAGCAAGTTGATAAAAAAATGTCATAGTTATTCAAAAACTATGACTTCCCGAAACCATAGAGGTGGTAACTAAATTTTTCTCCTTATTTAAATAGAGAACTTTACAAAATATATATCAACTCATGAATTTTGAATGGCTCAGGAGAGAAGCTAGCGAAGTGGCTAGTCATATTCCCACTGCTGTATCTATCAGCAGGGACATGCATGGCTCTGGTGATGATAGGAGGATCAACATCGAAGATATTCTACGAGATAGTGTGTGGGGGCACGTGCTCCGCCGGCCCGGCGCCATTAACACCTGTTGAGTGGCACCTGGTTTTTACAGGTGCAGCAGTTATACTTTCTCAGCTCCCCAACTTGAACTCTATTGCCGGTGTTTCGCTGATCGGTGCCGCCACTGCCGTTGGGTATTGTAGCTCCATTTGGGTGATCTCAGTTACGAAAGGTAGGATGCCTGGCGTCTCGTACGACCCCGTTCGACCTCCAAATGACACCGAGAAGATTTTTGATATTTTAAATGCCCTTGGAATCGTTGCTTTTGCATTTAGAGGCCACAATCTTACTCTTGAGATTCAGGTATTCAGTACTATTCAATTTGTTTCCTTGACCTTTAAAAAAAAAAAAAAAAAAAAAAAAAAGTTGACTTTTGACCATTAAAATATTTGTTCAATCGTTAGGCAAAGAAATTAATGACATGGATCTTTGACTAGGAGTTGAACATGTTGAATATTCAACTATATCAGAAGGCATTTTCACTCTAAAATTTTTGGACTTATAATAAATTGAATTTTGGAATTAAATTTCATTTTCTGCAGGCTACTATGCCTTCTGATGAGAAGCATCCGTCAACTGTGCCCATGTGGAGGGGTGTCAAATTTGCATATCTAGTCATTGCAATGTGCATATTCCCTCTCGCCATTGGAGGCTACTGGGCGTATGGTCAATTGGTATTACAAATTTCTCATTCAATTTCATCACAAATTGTACCATTTCCTACATAAATTACCATTCTAAAACCTTTGTTTTTCTACTAATTCACAGATTCCAGAAAATGGGGGCATGCTAACGGCCTTGTATGCCTTCCATCGTCTCGACACATCACGATTCATCCTAGGATTAACAAGTTTGTTCGTCATAATCAACGCCGTCAGCTCATTCCAAATCTATGGCATGCCAGTATTTGATGCTTTGGAGTCAGTCTACACAAGAAGGATGAAGGGGCCCTGTCCATGGTTTCTCCGATCGCTCTTCCGTGTCATTTTCGGGTTCTTCATGTTCTTTTTAGCCGTGGCAGTACCGTTGCTGGGAAGCTCAGTCGGTCTAGTCGGGGGAGTCGCATTGCCAGTGACATTAGCCTATCCATGTTTCATGTGGCTTAAAATCAAGAAGCCTAAAAAAGATACTTGTATGTATAAGCTCAATTGGTTACTTGGACTCCTAGGACTTACTTTAAGTGCAGCGGTTGTTGCTGGAGGAGTTTATGTTGTGATTACTAAAGGTGTTAAGGTTAATTTCTTCCACCCTAACTGAAATATTTGTGTAATTCTAGAGGCAAATTTAGGAGTGAGTGAGTTATAGAATTAATTAGGATTTATGGTACTATATTTTTTATTATAAATTATGGCATAATTTTTAGATCATGGCAATTAGGTTTATGGAGTGTAAATGGTGTAAAAATCATTTCATGATTTTTGTAAAAATTATGGTGTGATTGATTTGAGCATTTTTTAAGGATGAAATTATAGTACATTTATGTTTTCTCTCTTTTTCTTTCCCTCTCAATCGTGGGCCTATGTTGGGCCCAAAAACTGGCTAATCTTAAGTGCCCATTGAACAGCATTTCATTAGATTTTAGGATTACAAAAATTTTAAATTTTTTTTTATTTTTTATGATTGGAGTGTTTGGGCCAATTTTCGTCTCGACTAATCCACGAGGTCCATTGAGCATCCTACAGTCACAAATGTGATAGATGATCATTGGTTGGGACTCAAACACAAGACTTCTAGATAAACTAAGGTCTTGTCATTCGGCCATAAGCAAAGTGGTTAAAAAAATTTAATTTATCCCTTCACCAAAATGATTAGTAATCCAAACACAGTGAAAAGATGAATACATGATAAGATTATTTCATTTTTAAGTTAATTGAACAAAGATTAAGTGACCGAAAAATGAGGAAATTTTAATTAAAAAATAATTATTGCCATTATAAGAAAGGAAACATTACATCAGATATCACTTATTGGAGATATGCTAAATTAAATTTTTAGTGTAAGATCCTTGCAAATGTTCTACAACTCAATAATTGAAAAACATTCTACTTTATTGATGCCGAAATAATTAAGAGATGACTGAATGTAAGAAATAAAAATATGATAAACCATCGTCAAATTGTATTAAAATTCGAATATTGAATAATATGAAATATCCTATAAGGTTTTCAATAATTCATTAAAATAAAAACTACCAAAACTGCCTTCTCGGGGCTGAAACAGCCTTCTCCCTTAAAACCCTAATCCCAAAAAAAAAAAACAAGGGAAAAGAAAATTAAAAACTCTAAACAGTACCCAAACATCTAAAACTTACAAAAACAACCCTAAAAATCATAAAAAGGTCTAAAACCCCCTTAAAACCACCCAAAAGGCTAAAAGCTGACAACTCTCATTTTTTACGAGTTTTGCTTGTTTGGCCGTTTCAGAGTGTCTTGTCAAAATTCATGGTATTCTGACAATGTCAACACTATTCTAACATGTGGGGCTTCGCATAATTTATTATTGTAACTTTTTCTTGGACATAAAATGACTAAATAGTTGTTTAATTACTTGGTGAATTCATGTTTTAGATATAAATCATAAATAATATTACATATATCTTTTTTGTTTTTTTTTTGGTATGGTAATTAGTGGCCACTCTTTGCCCTTATTACAACTTGAACCTAAGACTCTTTGGTCTTTTAATTCCGTAATCCATCTTTCACTACATCAAGGTTTAATATAGTCAATTTTTTGAACGAATATTCTAAAAATTAAAAAAAAAAATTATATTAAAAAACAGAAAAAAATAGGTGCACAGCATTATTTGTAGCATAATAATTAATTTATATGATAAAACCACTTACTCGAATCGAATGGACTGAATTTCTGTTAAAGACTTACCCCAAAATCCTTATTCGTGGTAAGCCCATTATAAGCAGACTTAATCATCCAAGTAATAATTGAATTGCCATTTTCTCTTTGACAGCTGGTAGAGGAAGATTCACAAACACTGTTTTTATTCAATAATATTTTGATTTTTTGTTGAAGCAATACATGTCATGTCACTACATATGCGTATACGTGTTGTTGTTTTAGCTTAGCCACGGGATTCACACTATTTTTTAATGCAAATCAAAAATCAAGGTTTACAAAATGTTAAATCAACCCCCCAAAAAAAATTGTTAGTCAATTACTTGTTTGCACTTTAAAAAAGAATGAGTATTAATATTTAATATCATTCATTTTTCTAATCCAACTATAATTAAGAAAAAAAACTAAGTGATAATTAAAATTAATGTCAAGATTAACACCTTTCAACATCATTGAAAGATAAATAATTAAAGGAGCTTAAAAAAAATTAAGCTATTGTTACTGCTAAAGTCTCACATAGACGAGAACTTTGGTTACTTATATAACACAATGACACCTCATCATTCAGACACGTCTTTTCATGACATCTCTGAAAACCTGGCTACCATGTGCAACAGTACCTGAAGCTACAGAATAATTTTTTTATACCAGTTCTTCTCTCTTGCATATCTTGTTAATTAGTTCATAATTAATGACCAGCAATCAGCTACTGTTATCTAACACCAAATGATAAAACTCAGACAAATTTTTCTTAAATTAAAAATTGTAAAAGAAAAGATATTTTTTTATATTAATTTATGGCACCTAACGTAGTTTAACATCTGATCGAGTTATATATATAAACAAGCGCAAGCTTATAATGAAGTGATAAAATGATAGATGAATGTGACTGTTGGGGCCAAAAATTGTCCTGGGCCGAAGTAGGATAACACTTCTGACAAAGAGGAAAACCTAAGCCCAGCCCCGATGTGGCCCAGCCAGAATATCCCAGATGAGACCCACTCGGTATAAGTATAGCCAGTCCATACCACCCGAACCCATGCCTTCTGACCCCAGCACACCATATGGGCCTATGACGCTTCGAAGCCCACAGTCAACTACGGATCACACTCTTACTTGAACTCCGGTAGGGCAGTCCACTACTACCGTAATTCCTCCAAACATCCGTATCTGGATCATACTCGGACTCCTTTTCACGCCAGGATAAAGGGGCCAAAGGATACATCCTCCGAGGAAACAGATTACTATGAGGACTCCCAATCCCACCAGGATTGGGAGACTAGATGTAACAACTGCTGTAAGCTAATACAATGTATGCATAATAACAATAGAAAATGGGGCCCAAAAACTTTCTTTTCATTATAAGTCATATGTCTTTTATACACAAAGAGTATTGTTTACAAAAAGTCATTTTTAAAAGACAAAACAAGGGAAACAGTGTAGCTATTGCTCCTCGCTTGCCGACGCCCCTCCGACTGCATCAACACCTAGATCCTGCATCCACAAAGGAAAATAACGGGGTGAGCACAAAATAATGCTCAGTAAGTAAAACCCTCTATCTGTCTGTCCCCGTATGTATAACTCTTAATTCTTTCCTTATACTATTTCTGATTCTATTTCTGTTTCTACTAAACATCATGGCCTCATCTTACCGGAGGTACGGCCGGATGGCGTTCACACAGCACCATCTCACTCTCCATGACTATCGGGTGGAATTCACACAGTACCAACCCGTTCTTAGTGACTACCGAGTGGGGATCACGAAGCACCTACTCGGTTTTCATAACTATCGGGTGGAGACCACCTAGCACCTACCCGTTTCTCATGACTTTTGGGTAACGATCACCAAGCATTAACCCGTCTCTAATCACTGTCGGGTGATGATCACAAAGCATCAACCCACTTCTAATAAATGTCGGATGATGATCACAAAGCATCAACCCCTTATCTAATAACTAACCGGGTGGTGGTCACAAAGCATCCACCCGTTTCTAATACTTATCGGGTGACGATCACAAAGCATCAACCCATCTCTAATGGCTATTCGGGTGGTGATCACAAAGCATCAACCCGATTCTCATAACTGTCGGGTGATGATCACAAAGCATCAACCCATTTCTACTACTCTTCTCATTCACTCTATTCTAGCATTTTTCATTCTCTCTACCCTTAGAGTAGTTGCATCCACCAAGTTCTCTACTCATAGAGTAATTGCATACACAAAGTTTCCTACTCTTTCTTAGGTCACTTTTCAATGCACAATTAGTGCCTATGGATGGTTCATCTCCACTAATGCACTTATGAAATGCCAACATGCAATGTTGCAAGAATTAAGGTTCACTACTCATACTCAAACCTCTATTAGGCATTTCATCAAACAACTCAAGTGCATTATAAAACTCTACTATAGCAATGATTCTAAATCTTTCTCTAACCATCCAAAATGGGGAGAAACCCCCTCACATAGCCACATAACCTGCCAAAGAAAGACACTTCCAAAAGGGTTCCACAATACCCCTTCAATTCCATCTCAAACTACCTTTCCAACCCACAACTCACTTCTTATATTTGAAAGGCATAAACAATCACAAGGCACTAGAAATCTCTATTTAAGCCTCAATAACATGGCATATAACATATATATAACACACATACATAAGTGCTATCAAAACCCTAATTAAGAAAATTCCCAAATCTCAACTTGGGTTGGGGTTTACTTACTTTGTTATGGAGAGACTTCACTAACTCTTCCTTTCACTTGGTTTGCTTGACTTTTTCTCTACTCTTAACCAAAAGAACAAAAACCCTCAATATTCAATATATACTAAAACTCACAAAGCTTCACAACCAAAGTAAGAATCCTTACCTTAGGAAGCCTTAGGTTGTTTTTCTACCCCAAATCACTCCAAAAGCCCTTTGAAACTCCTTGATCAAAAGAAAGAGAAGTTGAGAGGAAGCAAGAGAGGAGAGTTGCGTTAGAGAAGAAGAATGAAGGGTTTGCTAAGTCTTAATTCCTTTTAATGAAATTTATACACAAGGATTCCCATTTTGCCCTTACTCTTCTTTGGGAATTCTATCTATATCCTTTGATTCATTACAAACACACCCCCATATCAACATATTCCCCATGAAAAATCCTTACATTTTACTCCCCACTTTTCCTGCTAATTAGGGGTAGAATGGTCAAATTGCCCTTAGGGAAGAAAATATCTAAAACTTAACAAACATTTTGGTCGGCCTGTCGCCGCGGCGAGGAAGCTTCTGTCGCCGCGGCGAAACTGTCCAGAGTGTTTCCCCGTGGTTTCAACACCTCTTCGTCACAGCGAAGATTCTTCTTCGCCCCGGCGAAGCTTGGCACACTGAACTTCTTCTATTTTCAACCAATTTCAGGGCAAGCATTCAACACAACACTCAATCAAACAATATTACCAAGAAACCAACTCAAATAAGAGCAAAAGAAGAAACAATAACTACGTACCTCAAGTGGGGTGTTACACTAGACAGTCTCTATTTAAACAGAGGCCAGCCCTCTCACAACGGGAGGACGCTACACCTACAGACCCCGGAGTTCTAGCTTGAGAACTTTACTTCACTGCCATAGTCACAGTC